CAGTAATTAAAATTTAAAAGAATGGAATGTTTAATAAGATATATTATGTAACCCAAACATAAGTATTATTATTGCACGTAGCACGTACGTGGTAAAGTGAATTCTACGGTGTCGTTCAATGGTTCGTGGAAATGTCCCATTTACGTCGGTTTTATACAGCCCGTTCACATAGTAGTTTCACTCGAACATGAATAAAATGTTTAAAAAAATCACAAAAGTTTGTGTTTATGTGTCAAAATAATGTTATAAAAGTAGGTAGGTACTAAACATGTATAATACCTATATTATAACGAACAAATGCCTACTTATAACTTGTATAACTAGTAACTACCAATTCAAGTACCAAACATTTTAATAATAATATTCACCAATAATGATTTTTAAAAAAAAATTCAAAGTAAAAAGTCTGCGCATTTAATTTTTGGGTTAATTTAAATTAATGAGATAATTTTATTTATTGCCGAGTGACGAGAATAGGTACCAATCAAATATAATATATCAAACATTAAATGTATAATATTATAATTCATAATTATATATTATTATACATTATAATTGTAATCATTTTTTACAGTGCAAAAAAGTAAAATCCAAATTTTAAGTATTAGGTTAAATAGTAAATTCATATATGAGAATTACAGCAAACGTACACTTTAAAAGACAATGTTTAATCCAAGGACGGATACAGACGGTTTTTTTGGCGGGGGGGGGGGTCCAAAACATGTATATTGTAATTTTATTGAATTTCGGTTTTGATATTTGGTTAAAATCAAGATATTGAAAAAAATTCTGGGGTGTCCAGACCAACTGGACCTCCCCACAGATACGGCCTTGATTAAACTTTAATCTTTTATTATTAATTGTTAATATTTATTAGGTATAAATATTTTATTTGTATTTAAATTATTTTGTCATGGTTATACTAATAGACTCGTAGATATTATCATTGATTATAAAAACTAGTAATGTATAGTACAGGGATGGCCAACCCAAATGATCTTGCGGGCCACTTTGTAAATACATTACAATCCTGCGGGCCACATATAGGGTTGCCAAAAAAAAAAAAAGTCATCAGCCAGTAAAAAATACTATTCGAAATTAGGCCACATATAAAATTATAAAAGTATTTTGCCCCAATACAAAAAAATGGATTAAAATGGAAAATAATTTTTTTTTTTGGAAAATATTTGATAATGTCGCGGGCTGCAAAATTTTCCAAGGCGGGCCGCATGTGGCCCTCGGGCCACGGGTTGGCCATCCCTGGTATAGTATATAGTATTTATAATCAATGATATTATGTATTTTTTTAGATTCTGAGCGGAGCGAGGAAGCTAGTGGTTTTCCAATGGTGTTTATTTTTTTAAATTCTGTATACAACATTTTTACCAGAAGGGGTGCTTCGATTTCAACATATAGAACCTTATATTTTAGCAAATTGGATCAATATGGTACTTTAGTAAGGTAATTTGTCGATTTTCACAATAGTTATTTAATACCACTTCAAAAACTACTGACAAATTACGAAAAACCGCTAAAAAGTGGATTTCAATTTTTAACGATTTGTTTATCACCGTAGCAACGAATAAAACATTATAACATTATAATATTAAAGTCAACTTTAAAGACTATAATAAATAATAAAATTTAAAAAATCCAGACTGATAATGATTAAACCCGTCTCCTTCAGATCGTTTTTCTTATACAATGATATTATATCATTCAATTCAAGTTCAATACATTATATAACCCAGTGACGTATTTAGGGGGGGGGCTAGAGGAGGCGATCGCCCCGGGCGGCATTTTTATAGGGGCGGCATCAGATTTTTACATAACCCATCTTCTGTTAATGAAAATTGGAAAATGAAAACATACATAAATTAAGTTTTTTTTTTTTTATCAATAATATAATAATAAAAATAATAATTTTATCAATAATATGACAACACTTATCAGTTATTATATACAGTTATCGCTTATTAGTGACTTATCAAAGTGTAGAAAACATTAAAACAATTAATTTTGAATTTTTATACGACATATACCCGTACGTAAATATTGCTCTAAGAATGTATCTATGTTGTCCTGTGTCTAACTGCTCTTCAGAGCGTTCGTTTAGTGCACTAAAACGAATTAAAAGTTATTTGCGATTGAGGCTGACTGATGAACGACTAAACAGTATCGCCATATTAAACATCGAATCAGATATTACAAAAGGTTTAGACTATGATGATATAATCAATGAGTTTAGTTCCTTGAAAGCTCGAAAAAAGTATATGTACCTACATTTTAAATATTTATTGTTTTGTAATTATAGTTGATAATAACTAAACCTATTTTATATTAAATATTTAAATGTGATTAATTTATAAAAATAACATAATGTTTAAAGTTTGAAATCTACTTTTTTTTTTTTTTTACTAACTTTTGTTCTAAAAAGGATACGATAACGGGTTGTCACCGGAAAGTAAGCTCCAACGCTCTCGGTAGTTTTAAAACAGAAAAAGTCAAATAATTTTTTTTGTGGAGGGGGGGGGCGGAAAAACATTGGCACCCGGGCGCCAAATTTCTGAATACGTCCCTGATATAACCCATTATACATTGACCCTCTTGTAATCTACTGTACTGCAGAGCGACATCCACTTACCTGCTTTTTTTTATTAAGCTAAGCCTGACAACTATGGCAATTAGCTGTTTTTGTTTTTATGGGGAGGAACGGTTGTTTTTGGAACACGTTTTGTATGTGTGGCAAGGATTTATTGCTACATATCCCACTTGGTCACCCATCCGGGAGCTAACACCACCGGCCGATACGTATACGACCGCGCCACATATTATGTATTATTTAAGAATAGACATGACAGTGGCGAAAATAGGTGGGGGGCTTGGGGAAGGGGCTTAGACCCTCAAAATCATTCAAAGCCCCCTCAAAAAAAAAAAAAAATAATATATTATATTAGGTATAATATTATAGTTAAAAAAAATGTTTTGGGACTTGAGCCCCTCCTAAACATTTTTCCTATTTGCGCATCCATTTGAACATCCAGATGGATAGGGGTGGGTGACAGTCTTTCCTAGCGGGACACTAGTGATGGCATTCCTTGTGAACTATAAGGCATTGTTATTAACAGTAAGTATATTCAGTATACCTACAGCACGATGTAGAGAAGATCTTCTCTACATCGTGACCTACAGTAAAATATATAATTCATAGATCTATTAATTTTTTAGTAATGTATATTGTATAAAATCGTAGAAATGAGGACCAGGGTGGCCGACCCCAAATAGCTGGAAAAGAAGAAGAATGCATATTGTATAATGTATATTATAATAATAAATAATTCCATTCTGACGATGGGTTGCAACAGTAAAAGACACATTTTCATCTAATTTCCTATTTATCATTAAAATATATTATATTTAATATTTATATCTGATAATAATATTTTTTTTCTTATTCGATTTATACAAAATCAGTTAAAAATCGTGAAGTGCTAGTAGAATTTCAGTGCACACCATACATATATTACAGAACAACTATAATAGATAGCCGACTACCATACAACAATCATGCAATGTTTTAAGGTTGTTGTGTTAAAAATATTAATTAATTTGTATTTAAAATATCTAATATATATTATTTATCATTGTTAACATAATATTAAAGTGTAAACATTGCCGTTGAGGCACACCACATAGTTAATCTATACTACATTACTACACCACCATAATATAGAAATCTGTGAGACATGTAGCGGACCTATTATAGCGTCAAGGGGCTTCGAACCACGCGACTAGAAAAAAAAAATGACATTTGGACTATAATAGTCGGATATCTAGTTGTTCTATTTATCTATATTCCGTGTCTATATTTGCGGGGCACACTATTTCGTCAAATTACGATTTTAGATAGTACCATTGATTATAAATACTAGTATCATAGAACAATAGCTAGTATGGTACCATTGTTCTATGATGGTACCATGTGGTACTATCTTTATCGTGGTCGATACTGATAGTCGATAGTCGGTTCTTTGGTTATCATGATAAAATAAATAGGTATGTCAGCAAAAATACGAGATGTAGTCCGGCTAGCGCATCCCACCCTTCCCAACCATAGTCGTAGTTCGGGCCATTTCATTGGCCGTTAAATTACCCGGCCAACATACAATGGCGATCCAGCCCACTGACGGGGGTGTGGAGTGATCGGCGAACACGATGCGTATCAAAAAATCGTTGATAATTGATAAACTTACCTATCTTTTCATTGCCTGTTTTTGGATTTTCCTTCCCATCTCTTTTGTGTTACAACACACAACAATATTGATAAGTTCGCCGCTGCAACAACAGTGCTTGTAACTGGTGAATGGTTCTTAATATCACGTTTAAACGAAATCGTGTTGTACTTTTAAGTTTTATTAAAATGCTCACTGCTCAAGTAGTCTCGTTAGTCGTTATGTTCGTTTTCTAGATTATATCGGCGTTATTAATAAAATTAAAATATATAATATATACGTATAATAATAATATTAACGATCCGGCTGTCATTACTCATACTGCGGCCCATCGACAGAAGTAAGTACCTTGTTATTATTTATAAATAAATAACCAGGTAAACACTGAACAATAATATTTTATAATAATAATTATATAATAGTTACTAAAATTAATTTTATCACGTGATCCCGTCAGCCAGATATCGACATATCGTTGTTCGTTATATAATATATTCGTTGCCTATTCACATTTCATGATAGCCGTAGTCCGTGACAGGTACATACATATGATGTCAATATTTGTATCCATCACATTACATTACTTTGTCGCTCGTAAACAATATTGAATACCTATCTAATGGCAAATTTTGTCTAGGCTAGGTGCGTCGTCCATCAATCGCCATTCGTATCTCCAAGACCCTCGCCACCGACCCCCCTTTACATGTGACTTAATCGCACCACTGCTTGTTTACATAAGGTACACATTTGCGCAGATCATTTGGTTACATGCCTTCCAGGATAACCATGTTTGCAAATTTCTCCAGCACCAAAAACACAACAGTCGACGGTAGAGTAGAATACCCCGACAAACGCTGTCCAACCAAAGGGCCACTCATCAAAGACGCAGTCTCATCAAAATGTCTGAACCCATTGGATGAACCATCACGTTCCTCGCAACAGGAACTCATGTTTGAGGAATATAACCCAAAAAATAACTTTGATATTTTCAACATGGATGCACCAACAGGTTCTCCGCTCAAGCCTTGTACTACAGATTTCAAGAAAACTTCCTGTAAAGAGCAAAAAGTGGACTTTCCAGCAAAATTCAATGTAAGTTGCTATTACAAAATACAAATCATATCTCAACAGTGAACATATTCTACCAATATCAACTTATAAATTATCCAATATCCCATTTAATTATGGCTAATATTTAATGTGTATTTTTATTAATATTATACTTAGTATGTAGGTACCTACTTATGCAATGTAATTAATTAAATTTGTTTTTAGGAGATAAAACAGGACAGTTTGAAATCTCCTATTGCTAAACTGAATGAAATTATGTTGTTGAAAAAACAAGTAGTCGAATACGGTTTGGTTTCCATAGCAGGTCATGTACATAATCCAGTTTTTAGATTTGTTGCCACAAATGATGGGATATATGGTAAATAATTGATACCTATACCTAATTATAATAAAAATAAAATATATTTAACCTTCTTAATGAAAAATAATGGTTTTAGCTTATGGAGAAGGTTTGTCAAAAAAAGAAGCAAAGAAAAATGCTGCTATAGCTTTATTGGATAAATTAGATAATAATAATGGAAACAACACTATAACGTCTACCACTTCGAACATTTCACCAAGCAATGTTAGCCCTTTGAAGATTAGGTATATGGCTATACAAAATAATATATAACTGAATAGATTGGATGATTTATGTTAAATTTGTTTTCAGCAAAGAGAAAGTTTTAGATGAAATATCAAAAGTAAACCCTATTGGTGTGCTGCAAGAGTTGTGCATGGCTCGTCATTGGGAATTACCCGATTACGAGTTTCCACAAGATGAACGCAATGAAACACATAATGTTTGGTATTCTGTGGTATGTTCCCTTAGGGACTTTCAATCTGTAGGTAAGCAACTTGAACAAACTCTTACATTTAACATTAAAAAAAATTAGGTATATATTTTTAAGATACTAGCTGTATTGGCCGTTTTTGCCCGGGAAAAAATGGACACGTCTTAAATGCGGTGCTATGTATATCGTTGTGTCTCAATAATAGATTAAGTCATAAAGACAACACATTTTAATTAATCGTTATAGTAATGTAAATGTTGAAACTAAATTATATTATATTAATAGCTGATCCCGCGCATTTTGTTGCCCGTAAAACAATTACAACTTTTAACCAAATTGTGATTGTTCAACTCAGCCTTCCTGGTAGGCACAATGTGCCAGACAATGTGTCACAGCATATCAAGTAGGCAATGTGAGAAAATATTATTTGATGCATGCTTGCACCTGATCTGCTTGATTAACCAATTAATAAAAACTAATTTCTATCAATTATTTCTTCTTTAACCAATCTCAACCATTTATAAACAAAAATGTCCAATGTAAATCTCAAAATCTCTGTTTAAGCATGTTCCCAGGTTGGACCTAGAGGGTGAAAAATACTTAACGAGCTATTTTCATACTTTCCAAATATATAAAAAAAATTTCATTAAAATTGATCCGAGTTGTTTCAGTGGAGTGGGACCACAAACACGGTGACACAATATTTTTATATATTGGAAGATTATATTTTCTTAAAATCGTAATGTGGTTACCAGGCACTGAACCTTGCATAGCACTTTGAAAATTAATTACTTTATGTGTTACTATATTCTTATATAAATATATAAGAACAGGCCTTTTTTTTATGTACCAATTGCGTGTGTGCGAGCTGTACCGGTGTGTGCGTAGTAAATGATCATTAATGTTAGTGACACCAACGACTCGGTTTTGAAGCGGCGCGAGCGGAGGTTCTGAAAATTATATTATTTTGTAATATGGGTGATGATAATATCATAATTACGCATCCTTTGTTGTATAATGTTGCTAATATGGAATTTTTTTTTTTTTGATCTTTATATAAAACATCGGATTCTATGGTCATTAGTTAGTAAGGAATTATTTATTCAACTATTAATTCGTCGGTAAATAAAATAAAATTATATTCATGAAATGATCAAATTGTAAGTATAAAATAAAGATAAATTATTACTTGTATATTTTAAAAACAAGTAAAACTCAACTTCACCATGTAAGGATAAATAATAGGTACTATAACAATGTAATTTATTTTAAAAATAAATACATTTGATAAAATTATAATGTAAATATTATTATAGTTTATTAAAATATATCATTCTTTTTTATCAAGCATATTTAGAAACATAATAAAAAATACTGCAATTACATTTTAGTCTTTAGGTATGTTTAATTGAGGCTTAAGTATTTCTATTAACATGTGATTTAAGTAAAACTCGGACAACATTACTTCCATTTTGTTTTTCCAAAATATATCATCACGTTCTATTTTATCAACACAAATTCCTATACAATAATACAAAAATAAATAATAACATAATATTATTATATCGGAAAAAAACTTTATTTTACCTTTTGGTGTCCATACAACAAAGTAACAAAATGTTCTGTTATATGAAGTTGCCTTGTACTTGATAGTAATATATATATGTGTTTTCTTTAAAATTAAATTATCCAATTATACTTCCATAAACTTTAATTTTTTTTTCGTTATACGCATCTTTAGGTGTTAAGTCTTATAGAAATGGGACATTTGATTTCTATAATTGAATCGTCTCCAATAAGTCCATCCGGGGAAGCTGCCAAGTATGGGAGATTTAAGTCAACAAATAGTCCTGCTAGTTTTACATTAGGTACATGCACACAGTTTTTCAAATTCTTGTCTGGCTATAGGTTCAAATTGTATTTCATAACTAAATTCAAATTATTAAATTAATATAAGTGAAATATTATCTAAATTTAAAGAAAAACAAAGTCAAAATGTACCTGGTTGCTGAGGTACCGTGAAAAAAATCTGATTGATAAATGATTGAAATCACGCTTTTTTTCCCTTGAAGTTGATTTTCGCAATTTGAAAATTCTACCAAAATTTGAAGCAGTTAGTCTTTTACATCTTTCTTTTTTCCATTCTTCACTATTTGATTGTTCAACTGTTCGACTTTGTAATTCGTTTATCTCATACATGCTCAATTTTAAACTGGCTTAAAATTCCAATTTTTTTTCTTAGAATTCTTCATGGGACATGGGTAGTGGATGACAATCTAACTCTTCATCCACCGCTCCATAATCAACATCAGGTCCATAAGTATTTATTTTTTTTTCGGTCTTTAATAAATTAATTTAATTGAAAATCATATTTAAAAGAAAATTCTTAGGCAAAAAAATATTATTATAAACAGATATATTACTTAGTTTCAGCTAATGCGTTGTTTGCAATTCGGAATTTCGACTTTGTTTAGAAATATATTGTTTCGTATATTTACCAGGACTAAAGTTAGTTACTTTTTTGTGAAACTTTCTCAAGTGCTGAGGTCCATAATTATATGCTAATATTGCATTATGACAACGAACATTATATGAACCTAAATAATTATTAAGAACAAAATCGTATAGTAAAACAATAATTTTAAATTTAATTATATAGGCACTAAATTAAAATTAAATATAAAACACCTTTAAAGGAAAAGTTGATCCGTTTACCCCCTACAATCTACATATTTTGATACAATACTATTGTAACCTTCGACATAGTTGTTATGTATGAGGTGTATCAAACTATTCGCATGATATGCTACTAAATTAACAGCTGCTATCAAATCATTCCACACTCCACAATTTTGTAATTCAGGGACTAAGTGAATTTTGTTAGATTTACTACCCGTACAAAAATACCTAAATAAAAATTGTAGTTGAAATATGAAGTTTGTAACAAAAAAATATTCATTAATTAATAAACCTGTCGCATTTGTCATGAGATCCAAATACATGAAAAGGTCCATTCAATATATCAACTTTCAACCGTTTGACTTTTTCATTGTGTGGTATATCCAATTGTTTTCTTAACATTATAGCTTTTGAAACGGCAAAACTTTGTAACATAATATATTATACAATAATACAAAATTTACATATTAAAATATTATTTTCATTTTGCGATTGTTCTATGTATTAATTTATTTTTAGGTATCAACATTATTTACCTACTGTAATCTCAACAAATAGTCTTTTAGTTTTGTTCTTACAAAGTCTGGTACAGTATTCCCTGATGTACTTTTCCTTTTAGTAGAAAAAGCCCTAAGACGAGTCGAGTAATTTCGCAAAATATGATTTGTACATTAAATTTAGCTGAAATGCTGAATGCATACAACTGTAGTTGTACAAGCAGACATTATTTAGTATTTTACAATAATATTACTATATTAATGTCAATGGACATAATAAATTATGTGTTATAATTTATACTCTAAACGTCCCAATATGACATTATTCGTAGAAATGGCTATTGCGTATTATATACCTTCCGGTCTATACCTGCAGATTCTTAGAACAAAGTTATTTAGTGAATGAGTAGTAGAAAAACACTGACGCACGGTACAAGTCACCGCTACGACGTCGCAATCTCAAGTAGACATATTGACAAATTCAAATCAGTTTTCAAAAGTTATATCGCGTTAACAGTTCCATCGGTGTGATTGACAAAAGATTGGTATATTTTGGATGAAATAATAGACGTTTGCAATCCCCTTAAAACTTGTGGAACTAATGTATGTGTAATTTAAAACTAATGTAAATCCATGCACATTGCACTTGCTTTTTCTAACCGAAAACCAATAATCCGAGTTCAAAAATACTGGCATATAAACATCAGGAACATTTCTATGGGAATAGCGCAGTGTTACAACACATCTAATTTATGTTTATTTTTATTTCACTATGGTAAAAAAAAATATTTAGAAATATAAAATTTATAATAATTTGTTTGAAATTTATATTTATCTTTTTTAACTGCTAGGGGGTTAAATAGATGCATTGATAAGTATGAATTTAAAATTAATTAATATAATATAATATTGTATTATATTATAAAAATTATATAGGTAAATTTAAAAAATAAATAATAAATTGCATATGTATCAATGTATATTTTTTATTGAAAGTATATAATATTAATTTAATTGCTGAAGTTCAACGTCTTAAATTCTGAATTAAAAATATATTTTACAAATAAAACATACACTAAGAAATTGAAAAACTCAATGGACACAAGCAGCTTATAGCTCTTTATATAGACCAGTGCTTCTCAAACGTATTTGTTTATGGAGCCCTTATGTTGCTAAAAAAATTCTACGCTGCCTCAAAAATTAAGAATATTCATTAAAATATGTACATATTTCATGTAAAATGATACATGAATGATTTGCTTATTAATTTGTTTCTTTATAATATAATCATAACCGGCATAAACAATAAAAGCAATATAACCTTCTACCAACCAAGTGTTACCCGCAGTATAAAATTCCACACAGTGCAAAATAAAAATTACTTATTTTTTTTTTTTTTTTATTTTAAATTATAAAAAAAAAAAAATGATTTACATATTATTAAAATGTTTACAATAAAGTATCTACCTCCTTTAAGCGTAATGCTTGTGATGGTGCTAGAGAGTTACATTACATAATATATGAACAAAATTACATACAAATAAACCTAATTTCAAGTTAACATAAATAAAATATAGAGTAACATTCAAATTATTTTAAAACTTATTCCATATTTTAATTATTATAATATTAAAAAATGTATTTATTTATTTATTTTTGTGTTTTTTTTTTTTTTTTGAACTATTAGTGAAAATAACCACGAGTTAAGTTGTTTTTAAATGCACGTAATACTAAGATTCCCAATTGAGTAGTAAATGAGTTTTTTTATATGTAAAGGCATTGAATTATAATAATTATTAGGACCTAAATAATCGACAAATTTTTGACCAAAAGATTTTTTGCAATAAAATACTCTGACATCAAAAGCCATCAGTTCCCT